TGCTCTGGCTCTCTGTAAATAAAGCAAAGCCACTTCCTCGTCCGACATTAAACAGCCCCACAGAGGAGGGGCGGGGAGACTCTGCCGTGCAGCGCAGCTGTCCTGCGTCTGACCTCAAAGTGCACAAGCTTCAAACTTCAGCGTTGGCTGCGATTTTGACGCTGAAATCGCGTTCGGTGTGAACGCACCATTAGACCCTGCTTTACCTCCATAGAGCCTGAGCCTGACCCCAACCCTAAGGTTAACCAGGAGAAATGTGACTCAAGTAGGGTTCTCCAGAAAAAGTGGTGCCGTACAGTAACGCCCCTTTTGTTCTTGTCCAATCAGGTGGTGCCATATGGTATCGCCCCTTTTTTGCTTGTCCAGTCAGGTGTGTCGCTTTAAAAAAATCCATCAAATCAGGTGTGTCGCTTTAGAATCGCCTTTCGTTGGGACACGCCCACTCGTCCGCAGAGACCCCTACTTGCCTTTCTGAGGTGTATCTCAAAGTAGCTGGTTTTGTTACTGTTCCTTTAAGATGCTTCAAGCCCCACCCCCCTCCTGCTTCCAGACCGGTCCACTCCGGTTTGAGAAAAGGGTTTATGTTTTCTAGCTTTCAGAAGCCTTTTATTTACAATTTAATTAAAAGATGTCAACAACAGAAGACTTATTCATCCAGTTTTACATGTTGGAGCCAGAGGCGCGCAGCGCACTGCAGCCAAACTGCAGAAATTGGGCCGAACTGTTGCAGTTTCATGACGCAAATCGCATCATTCTGTTCGCATTGTCGACATTTCGACACCTTCTTGTCACAACCTGCGGGCCGAACTTTTTACCCCCTCCATATAAGAATTCATAAGAACTTATTGTGTCATTGGTCAGAAGTTCGTGGGAGTGTTTGATGCTGCATTTTGCTTCAACCATTCGCTTAAAAAAAACAATAAAAAAAAAAGATTTGCTTCCAGGAGCCAACAGTTGTACCAGAAAGGAGACATTTATAAAGATAGTCAAACAGCCAAAAACTCCTGAATGGAGATAAAACAGATGTTGTGCACAGAGGAATTTGACTGATAAAAACTGTGGAGCTTTAACTGGGACAGATTTGTGTACATATAACGTTGGGTGATGTCGAGTCTGACTTTTTTTTTCCACATTGTAAACTCCAGCAGGAAGAAGCCACACAGTGACGTATACGGCAGTGGGAGGGGTTTCCCAGGAGCTCGGCCCAGTGAGTCTGAGGGTCTATGGAAGGTGTGTGCGAAAAAAAACGCAGAGCAACCACCTGACCTCGCGTCGTCTGGTCGGCTGCTGATAGACCATACTGAAACCTAGAGTCTGACCCAGAACAAGGCCAGAATTAAGATGAGGAATTAGTAGTTGGTAAGTCCAGACCTTATTCCGTTGCTGATAATTTGATATAATAGTTTAGAAAACATCATAGACAATAGAGAAAACTGAACGGGCTGAAAAATGTGACCTAAACCTGATCTTTGCAGCACCAGGAGAGACTAAATTAAACTTTTCTGCACTCCTGCAAGAAATTAAAGGTATCATATCATGCTTTCAATTCCTTCTTTTTCACATCTAAATCATTCACTTATGG